TAGGGAATGCCGGTATGTTACTACTGAGGAGGGAAGACTGGTATGTTAAACTTCTGAGGAAGGAAGGCTGGTATGTTACTATTGATGAGGAAAGGCTGGAATATTACCACTAAGGAGGGAAGGCTGGTATGTTACTACTAAGGAAGGAAGGCTGGAATGCTACTACTGAGGAGCGAAGCCTGGAATGTTACTACTGGGGAGGGAAAGCTGGAATGTTACTATTAAGGAGGGAAGGCTGGAATGTTACTACTGAGTAGGGAATGCCGGTATGTTACTACTGAGGAGGGAAGACTGGTATGTTACTACTGAGGAGGGGAGGCTCGTATATTACTACTGAGGAGGGGAGGTTGGTATGTTTCTACTGAGGAGGGGATGCTAGTATGTTACTACTGAGGAGGGGAGGCTGGTATGTTACTACGTACTGAGGAGGGGAGGTTGGTATGTTACTACTGAGGAGGGAAGGCTGGTATAATACTACTGAGGAGTGGAGGCTGGTATGTAACTACTGAGGAGGGAAGACTGGTATGTTACTACTGAGGAGGGGAGGTTGGTATGTTACTATTGAGGAGGGAAGGCTGGTATGTTACTACTGAGGAGGGAGGGCTGGTACGTTACTACTGAGGAGGGGAGGCAGGTATGTTACTACTGAGGAGTGAAGGCTGGTAAGTGTTACTACTGAGGAGAGGAGGCTGGGATGTTACTACTGAGGAGGGAAGGCTGGTAAGGGTTACTACTGAGGAGGGGAGGCTCGTATATTACTCCTGAGGAGGGGAGGTTGGTATGTTACTACTGAGGAGGGGATGCTAGTATGTTACTACTTAGGAGGGGAGGCTGGTATGTTACTTCTGAGGAGGGGGGGCTGGGATGTTACTACTGAGGAGGGGAGGCTCGTATATTACTTCTGAGGAGGGGAGGTTGGTATGTTACTATTGAGGAGGGAAGGCTGGTATAATACTACTGAGGAGTGGGGGCTGGTATGTAACTACTGAGGAGGGAAGGCTGGTGAGTGTTACTACTGAGGAGGGAGGGCTGGAATGTTACTACGTATGTTACTACGTACTGAGGAGGGGAGGCTTGTATGTTACTACTGAGGAGGGGAGGCTCGCATATTACTACTGAGGAGGGGAGGCTGGCATGTTACTACTGAGGGGGGGAGGGTGGTATGTTTCTACTGAGGAGGGAAGGCTGGTATAATACTACTGAGGAGTGGGGGCTGGTATGTAACTACTGAGGAGGGAAGGCTGGTAAGTGTAACTACTAAGGAAGGAGGGCTGGTAAGTGTTACTACTGAGGCGGGAAGGCTGGTATGTTACTACGTGCTGAGGAGAGGAGACCGGTATGTTACTACGTGCTGAGGAGAGAAGGCTTGTATGTTACTACGTGCTGAGGAGAGAAGGCTTGTATGTTACTACGTGCTGAGGAGGGGAGGCTGGTATGTTGCTTCTGAGGAGGGGGGAGAGAAGGCTGGAATGTTACTACTGAGAAGGGAATGCCGGTATGTTACTACTGGGGAGGGAAGGCTGGAATGTTACTACTTTACTACTGAGTAGGGAATGCCGGTATGTTACTACTGAGGAGGGACGGCAGGTATGTTACTACTGAGGAGTGAAGGCTGGTAAGTGTTACTTCTGAGGAGGGAGGGCTGGTAAGTGTTACTACACTACTGAAGCGGGAGGGCTTGTAAGTGTTACTTCTGAGGAGGGAAGGATGGTAAGAGTTCATACCGAGGAGGGGAGGCTGGTAAGTGTTACTACTGAGGAGGAAAGGCTGGTTAGTGTTACTACTGAGGAAGGAGGGCTGGTAAGTGTTACTACACTACTGAAGCGGGAGGGCTTGTAAGTGTTACTTCTGAGGAGGGAAGGATGGTAAGAGTTCATACCGAGGAGGGGAGGCTGGTAAGTGTTACTACTGAGGCGGGAAGGCTGGTATGTTACTACGGACTGAGGAAGGCTGGAATGTTATTACTGAGGAGGGGAGGGTGGTATGTTACTACGTATTGAGGAGGGGAGGCTTGTATGTTACTACTGAGGAGGGGAGGCTCGTATATTACTCCTGAGGAGGGGAGGTTGGTATGTTACTATTGAGGAGGGAAGGCTGGAATGTTACTACTGAGAAGGGAAGGCCGGTATGTTACTACGTACTGAGGTGGGGAGGCTGGTATATGTTACTACGTACTGAGGAAGGGAGGCTGGAATGTTATTACTGAGGAGGAGAGGCTGGGATGTTACTACGTACTGAGGAAGGGAGGCTGGAATGTTATTACTGAGGGGGGGAGGGTGGTATGTTTCTACTGAGGAGGGAAGGCTGGTAAGTGTTACTACTGAGGCGGGAAGGCTGGTATGTTACTACGTGCTGAGGAGGGGAGACCGGGATGTTACTACGTGCTGAGGAGGGGAGACCGGGATGTTACTACGTGCTGAGGAGGGAAGGCTGGTATGTAACTTCTGAGGAGGGAGGGCTGGAATGTTACTACGTATGTTACTACGTACTGAGGAGGGTATTGGTATGTTACTACTGAGGAGGGGATGCTGGTATGTTACTACTGAAGAGGGGATGCTGGTATGTTACTATTGAGGGGAGGAGGCTGGTATGCTACTACTGAGGAGGGGATGCTGGTATGTTACTACGTGTTGAGGAGGGAAGGCTGGTATGTTTCTACTGAGGAGGGTAGGCTGGAATGTTACTACTGAGGAGGGGGACTGATATGTTACTACTGATGAGGGAAGGCGGGTATGTTACTCCTGAGGAGGGAATGCTGGTATTTTACTACTGCGTAGGGAAGGCTGGGATGTTACTACTGAGAAGGGTAGGCTGGAATGTTACTACTGAGGAGGGGGACTGATATGTTACTACTGAGGAGGGAAGGCTGGTAAGGGTTACTACTGAGGAGGGGAGGCTGGTATGTTGCTTCTGAGGAGGGGGGAGAGAAGGCTGGAATGTTACTACTGAGAAGGGAAGGCCGGTATGTTACTACGTACTGAGGTGGGGAGTCTGGTATGTTACTACGTACTGAGGTGGGGAGGCTGGTATGTTACTACGTACTGTGGAAGGAAGGCTGGAATGTTATTACTGAGGGGGGGAGGGTGGTATGTTTCTACTGAGGAGGGAAGGCTGGTAAGTTAAACTAATGATGAGGGAAGGAGGGTATGTTATAACTGAGGAGGGGGCTGGTAAGTTAAAAACTACTGATGAGGGAGGGCTGGTATGTGTTACTACTGAGGAGGGAAGGCTGGTAAGGGTTACTACTGAGGAGGGGAGGCTTGTATGTTACTACTGAGGAGGGAGGGCAGGTAAGTGTTACTACTGAGGAGGAAAGGCTGGTTAGTGTTACTACTGAGGAAGGAGGGCTGGTAAGTGTTACTACTGAGGAGTGAAGGCTGGTAAGTGTTACTTCTGAGGAGGGAGGGCTGGTAAGTGTTACTACTGAGGAGGAAAGGCTGGTTAGTGTTACTACTGAGGAAGGAGGGCTGGTAAGTGTTACTACTAAGGGGCTGGCAAGTGTTACTACTGAGGAGGGAAGGCTGGTATGTTACTACGTACTGAGGAGGGTATTGGTATGTTACTACTGAGGAGGGGAGGCTGGTATGTTACTTCTGAGGAGGGGGGTTTGTATGTTACTTCTGAGGATCGGAGGCTGGCATGTTATTACGTACTTAGGAGGTAAATGTCGGGGAGTTTTGGGTATTACATGTAGGACAAGGTAAATCAAATGTAAGTAGTTCTCGAAGTTTTTATTACGATAATAAACGAATTTAATCTTCATGGATTTATATAGATGAATTAAATGTGATATTTCTTTATAAGTTAAAAGTATAGGCCTTAAGCTTATAGCGACTGTACAAAATTCAGCCTTATAAGAATACAGATGGTGCTCGGCTAGACCTGGTCACGATAACACGTACGCCATCGCCATACGTACCGATAGACCGTCAAAATGTTACTCTAACGACCAACACCATCTTACCGATAAAAGAAAACACGGAGTTAGGGCTGTTATATAAGCGCTGTTATTTTCATCGTCGAAATGAGTTTTGCATTCCTGACATTGTATTTCAGGATTCTCAGTGAAAATATCGTTTTTGTAATAACTCACACAGTCAAATTAGCTTTGAATTAGACTTGGATTGCGTTATTTTTAGAATGGCAGTTGTAGAAATTGGCATTTATATATATCGCTCAACTTTGACTTAATTGGGTTATTTTTAGAATGGCAGTTGTAGAAATCGGCATTTATATATATCGCTCAACTTTCACTTAAAATAGCTCCACTAAAATCAGCCCTGCTGGCCTATGATACAGATTACTAAGTTTCATAATCTTTATGTGGGTGAAAGCATCTTTCTTAAGTCACCAATACACCATATTGCGATTATCACTACATCAATAAAGTACGATAATCCTTCAAAATACAATTAAACAAGCCATGCCATGTTGATGGGGTTTTCCTAAAGCATTTTTATACAATTTTTTTTGCCAAACTGTATGGAAGTTAGGTTGACTACAACTGAAATCGTTATAGGTATAGAACTTCTAAAATGTCTTGGATTTCATTATTACAATTCCTGGTCGCAAGGGGCGACTGGAAACGCTTTTCTCCCAAGTTGGATTTCTTTTTCCCAATCTCTTTATGTTAATCTATAAGATTGATTGATTGATTGATAGGTTTTACGTCCGCTTCACTACCGGATGTATCGGTTATCCAGCAGACGTATTTTGAAGCATATATATATACCGACCTTAATTGGTAATCTCGACATTATACATACCCTCAGCAAAATGTTATTGAAAATACGCAAATTGAAGATGTAATATGCATAAACATTTAAAATGTATGCATATCTTCACGATAGTGTTTGAAAAATAAGTACTTATTAACGATGACGGCATTAAATATCACATACTTGAGCTTATTGAGTGTTCATATTTTGAGATGGTCCCTTACCTCCATTCTCAAAAGCGTTTCTATGATCAAGATCGGTTTTAAATTAGTAACAGGAAGTAGCTGTACCTTGTTTATTTTTGGTAGGGGTTTATAATCTAACAATGGCGTTTGTGTTTGCTAGACCCGGTTCGGCTAGCTCGGCGTCAGACAGGTAAGCAAGCCAAAACTACATTTAACCGCTGAACACAAACAATTGCAATGTATGGTTTTTGTCCTAATGAGTCGCAATCGGTGCCATGTGGTTGGAAAAACACCAAGGCTGTACTGTAACGGTTTCCCGACATTTTTTTGCTCAATATGTCTGAGGTTGATACTAAAACACGTGTTGTTTATTGAATGTTGTGATCTGATCGAACAATCGCTTCATTAATTCTTTGTTTTGATATTGCAAAACGATGAATTTACGAAAAGAAAAGGGTTGCTTCACAACTTCACACATTCGACGAATGACAATATATTACTCCACGTGTAGGTGTAACTAATTTTATAATCCCATGGCGTGTTTTGCAGGCCGGGAACAGATACACGTGTATGTCAGTATTTGCTCACACTGCACTTTTGCCTTCGCTTATATCGTTTCTATCCTGGTAAAATAACACTTTTAAAAGCCCAGCTATCTATGTTTGTAATTAAATTACGATATTATTTGTTCAGTCCTTTTGGACCTGTGCCAATTATTATTTTAAATTGTTGAAAGTTTTTTTTTTTAAATGATCGTTGTTTACACGGTATTTTAACTCTGAATTCACATTGCCTAATCCTTGCAATTTAAGTAACAAGAACATAGCATATATATCTCTAGAATGAGTTAATTTAAAGACTTGGCTATATATATATAGCCTATACCGGGGTATACATAAGTGCTACCAGTTTTTATATAATCAGCTGTTTCATTTCTGAATAATATTAGCTGTAGATTGTCATTCCCAATTTCTGTACAGGTTTTACCGATATACAGTTTATAATTAGAAACCTGCATTGGATGATCATGAGCATGATAGATTTTAACGTCGCTGCCTGTTGACATCACGGTACATGTATACTGCATCAAATAATACATATTACAGAGCTTGCTGATGATGGAATTCAATACCTGTCCAAATTTGAAATATAATAACATATTCCAGATGATTATTTTAAAGCGTGTAAATACAAAAATTAAATGATCCCCATGCATATATATTTATATATGCTGATCATGACATTCTGCAGACAAGTTTTACCATTTAACAATTTTATGAAGAATGATTTTGATATTAGTCATTACAGAAAAGCATTTTTTGAACCACTTATGATGAAAAATTAAAATAAGACTTTAAAGTTTACCTATATAAATATTCTCGGTTTTTTTCAAATGAACTAGTTATTTTTATAACTGTACATTTTTAGACTTGAAATTGAGGTCAGGATATTCTCCAGATGCATATGTACAGAATTTCAGCTTATTGTCAATACTTTTTGATCAATTAAATAAATAGCTGTCTATACTACCTGATATTTTTTATTAGCCTGCAAAACGAAGCATATAATAGATATTTATATGTGTTATCTTGCATTCGTACGTATGTCCATCTGTCCGTTAAAAGTTTTGTGAACTCAATAAGTTAAGCAGTTTTCACTCGTGAAATGTTATGAACTTTTTCATGAGTACTGTATGGATCGGACCAAGATTTGCATATTGTTAAATCAGGTTTCTGCATCAATTTATACAAGGATTATTAACCTTTGCAACTTACATTTTTCTCTTAGCTAAACACATTCATGTGAGTGCAACGTTAACTAGTCCCACAGTTTATAGTCAAATGTTATGCAATTTGGTATGTCTCTGGGGATTCCTAGCTGGTGCACAGATGCTTTGTCCTCCTTTGCACAGACAGGGTTTTCAGCAGACTCTTGAGACTAGTAAGTTTTTGACTCTCCAAAATAAGTTGCCTCTTGGGTCTGAAAGCACATGACTATTTATATTAACATATGTTTCGACTCTTCAAATTTCAAGGAAAAGGTAATTTGCTAAATGTAATGATAAGGGGGTTATTTTACTGATAGTCCAGACAGACATTACATGCATCAGTTCCATCGTTTTGTTATGGACGTTTATCTATAATGCTCGGCTCATGGAGATATTGTTTCAGGTTGTATAATCGACTACGAAATCAATGATCAATTTTACTGAGAATAATTCTGTGTTCATGTTATTGAGTTTTCAGTAGACTGTACACTTCAACATCGTCACTCATATTCCGTCTTTACGTATTGCAGAGTTATCTTCTCTTGAGAGCAGGTATTGCTTGTTACGCCATTAGTTCGTGTGAGAAAATTACGTCGTTTTCTCAAAAATTGATGACGTTACTCTCACAAACAAATGACGTAACAATCAGTACTGGCTCTCAAGAGAAGATAAATCTGCAATACGCAAAGACGGACTACATTCACTTTCAAGTCTTCTCATGACTACTCATATTTATGAGGACTATAAAATCACAGATTCAGGGTTTTAAGGGAGGTAATTATTCTTCGAACTCCAGTCTCATCTTTTATTAAGGTAAGCATCCTGCAACAACATGCATCCAGAGGGTTCACAATATATTTCTTTAAATGATTATTAATTAATACTTCTTCATTTAGCATTAAGGATGAAAATTTAAATGGGCCAAATAGTAAGTTAGAAGTCAAATTCGATTCAAATCCAATGATTTCACTAGAAAGTGGACTTCATTTTATCTACCGTATCCAATTTTTTATACGCCCATCAAATTTAACGGAAGTATTATGTTATGGGGTTGTCCGTCCGTCCGGCATAAACTTTTGTTTGTCCAGCAATCTCCTCATACATTTTTCGACCGATCTCTTTGAAACTTGGTATACATTATAATCATGATAGGAAATTGTGTCTCCCTTAAAAGAATTTTGATTAAGCGATTGTTGCAAAAGTTATTACCCTTTGTTCATTTCAGTATTTGATTTTTTGTCCGGAGATTTTCTTCTACATTTTTTAGAGCATGTCACCTATAACCACTCTTAGAATGATGCAGATCTTATTTCAATGTAAGAAAGTATATAACACTATATGGCATTCGACGGGCGTACATTGTTCCGCACCGCGGTACTCTTGTTATTTCATCAATTCAATTCTATTTAAATGAACTTGAGATGGAGGTAACATTTTATCAAGTTTATTTAATGGAAGATAAACATGGGGAAGTTCTACGAGGTGGACTTAAGCACCGATCACGACACCATGGAAAATGTTGAACGACAAACATATATGCCTACATTATGTATGTGCCTTTGGTAATGGAATGTTGTATTGTGAACAGTTGCAAAGTCTTCCATCGTTATCATATCAACAGCTTAGAGAAAAGATGATAAATGTTGATGAGTTTATGAACAAGCATATGATTATGAAAACTTCTTTCATGAAATTTTTTATTTCAACATATCTTCCTAAACAAGCTGCCACTCTCAAAAAAAATGTAAATAAAAAAAATATATAAATTCTACAATCTTTTTTTTTCCGGATTTCAAATGATAGCTGCTTTTAGCTGTCTTCCTCAAATAGTTATTAACTTAAATTGTGTTAGAGGCTTTGAATCAATCATCCAAGGTTAAAATGGTCACTTGTATTCCTTTTCAGTGGTAGCGGATCTGGAGAAGACCATGAGGCAGAAGTTCATATAGGAGACTTGGCATCATCTCCACCGAAATCTCCTCTCAAGGCCCCCAAAAGTCCCTGTAAAGCCTCCCTCATTAAGCGCCAGAAGTCGCTGATAGCCGCCAGCTCTAATAAATCTGTCCGTGTGTATCATACTGGAATCAGAACCTTATATACAGCCGGACGACCGCCCTGGTATGATTCTCACGGCTCTCACAAGGCGGCTTTTGTCATTGGTGAGTCTGCATGTTACTAATTTGCATATTTATTATTATAACTGAACAGTGTTCCTAGAGACTGCCAAATGAGGATTTTTCACCCCCAAAGTAGCTGTTTGTACCCCCAGTTTTCAACAATTGCCCTATGTAACAAAGTAACTTGAGGTAAACAAAAATCTTGAAAATGTATCATATATAACCATTTAAGGTTTCATGCTCAAATTTGAGCATGAAACCTTAAACCAAACTTGAGGTTTTTAATTAAGTTGTCTGTGAAGAACATGGAAATTGTCATATACATATATACATAAACTTATGTTGTGAATATTGATTTAGTTTCCATGATCTGTTGAAAAATTGACACATATATATGTGTATGACATGTCATTATTATTTATTGTTTACATTACTGTACAGACAGCGTGGTGGTCGTTGTACGTGACATTGTATAAGTACATGTACCTGTAGGTGTTTGTGGAGGAAGTGCCTCAGGGAAGACCACGGTGGCTAAGAGAATTATTGAGATGCTGGATGTGCCCTGGGTCAGTCTCCTCAGCATGGACTCGTTCTACAAGGTAACTCATCACTACTGCACGCCACACTGATATTTGAGACACATTTACTGGAGTTCTGGCCCCGAGAATCATGAAATAATCTTAAGTCTAAATTTGTCTTAAGTTTAGACTTAGCAAATAACAAATAAAGTCATGAAAAAACCCCGCCTAGCCAATCACAAATAAAGTCATGAAAGGTGACGTCATACATGAATATTAACCATCGAACGGCAGTGCCACTATATAACCCTACAGATTGTTGACGTCATCATTATTATGACGTCATAATTGTTACGTTGGATACCACTGACCCTCCCCGGGCGATGGCTGTTCTGTTTATTGAACATGCATACACGATACATACATTATTTAAATTAAATGCCAATTAATAATAAGTGTAATTGATTTTTTTTATAAGATGAACAGATTCCAAAAACGGTAAATATAAGTATTGAACTGCTTTCAATTGTTATTCATAGCTATATAGGCAATATGAATTCCAACTGGACAATGGCAAATCCAACATGAAGCGCTAGTGCGCTTCATTGAATTTGCCTTTGCCTATGAATGCCAACTGAAAGCAGTTCAATGCTTAATTGGCTATTAAATTATAAGCAAAAGTTTAATTTTAAGATTGTTTCATGATCTCAGGGCCTTTCCTTTCCAGTAGGACTTGTCTACATTTCGAGAACCCACTATAGATCTTATTCATAGGTCTCAATTAGCATCCTGAAAACAATATTCTAAACTTGCTTAAAACATTCTACAGAAACACTTCTACATGTAGCGTATCTGTACATGTCTACCTTCTAAGTCATTTCACAAGATAACTACCTTTTGACTCGTTTTGCATACCTTGTACCTACCATGTCTTTAAATGACTGTAGCTGTTTGTAGGATAATAACTAAAATATAACCAAACAAAACAAACCCAGTACAGACTTACCAGTACCAGTACAGACTTACCAGTACAGACTTGTATTACTAGATACAAAATAACTCAATTTTACATTTCATGGTGTCTATCATGGTAAACACTTTTTTACATATCAAGGGAGTAGAACTTACTGTAGCAAGTTTGTTGATTGATAAAATGGGAATTTTTGATAGATCTTAAAGGATATGATTTTGTTACAATGTTTGTTATTTTTTAGGTTTTGGGCGAGAAGGAGCACAAGTTGGCGGGGGAGAATGAGTATAACTTTGATCATCCTGACGCGTTTGACTTTGACCTCATGATCAAGACGCTGAAGAGACTGAAGGAAGGCAAGAACGTAGAAGTGCCTGTGTACAACTTCATCACCCACGGCCGGGACAAACAAACAGTTAAGTAGCTGCAGGGAGATAGATATTGTACCATTGATTCATTCACCCCTGAAGACTCATTTGAACTCTTCCACCTCAAAGGTTGGAATAGTTCATTATGATATTTCAGGGGTGGATGAGTTAATGATGACATGCATTTAAACATTACATACAAAGTCAGACGTCTTATCTGGCATATGATTATTGTTTCATATGAAATTAAAGCCAGGGAGAGTGAGTATACATATAAACAAGAAGGAGATATTCAAAGTCCTTACAAAAGTTGAGGTTATTTGGCAAGTTACAGTTATGTGATGATGGCTTGGCATCAATGAATGACCCTATGGTGCGATGCCGTCTGCTATAAATAATGCTGTGGAACACATGATTTCCTGTCCATTTTGCAAAGATGATTCATATAGGCAGCTTCTTAAAGTTAAAAGGTCACAAATACAAAATCACAAAAAAATAAATAATAAGCTTTCAGCAATTCCAACCACATTCTCATTTACATCTGAGTAGACTGGAACTTATTCAAGGATACAACACAGTGCAGTGATCATTATGTGACACAACTCGAACCCGCAACCCTTTGGTCATGAGCCCGGCATCCTACCACTAGACTACCTGCAGCTGCCTTTCATGTTTATACTAGATCTTTATAAACTTATTTCAATTGATATATTTTGAGTTGAAATTATTAAAGAGAATACCGGTGTCTGTATATGCCATAATATTTGTTTCATATATGAAATATTGGCTAAAACACTGAGTCAAAGGAAGCCTTGTAGTGCACTACATGTATGGAAGTTTATTATTGCAAAGTGTAAGATGTCATGGAGGAAAAAGATGTTTGTGTATGTGGCTCTAAAATGCATGGGAAAATCAACATGTGATTCTGTGTCTTGTTGTATGTGCCCTGGGTAAGACCACTAATAGTACTGGTGTATTTCTGTTACAGAAAACTATCTATGGTGCCAATGTAGTGATATTTGAGGGGATCATGTCCTTTGTCAACAAGGAGTTGTTGGAGGTTTGTCTTTACATGTTATACTGTCGTTACATGTTATACTGTCGTTACATGTTATACTGTCATTACATGTTATACTGTCATTACATGTTATACTGTCATTACATGTTATACTGTCATTACATTTTATACTGTCGTTACATATGATACTGTCATTACATGTTATACTGTCGTTACATGTTATACTGTCGTTACATGTTATACTGTCATTACATGTTTTACTGTCATTACATGTTAAACTGTCATTACATGTTATACTGTCATTACATGTTATACTGTCGTTACATGTTATACTGTCATTATTATACTGTCATTACATTTTATACTGTCGTTACATATGATACTGTCATTACATGTTATACTGTCGTTACATGGTATACTGTCATTACATGTTATACTGTCGTTACATGGTATACTGTCATTACATGTTATACTGTCGTTACATGGTATACTGTCATTACATGTTATACTGTCGTTACACTGTCATTACATGTTATACTGTCATTACATGTTACACTGTCATTACATGTTACACTGTCATTACATGTTATACTGTCTTTACATGTTATACTGTCATTACATGTTATACTGTCATTTCATGTTATACTGTCATTACATTTTATACTGTCGTTACATATGATACTGTCATTACATGTTATACTGTCGTTACATTTTATACTGTCATTACATGTTATACTGTCATTACATTTTATTCTGTCGTTACATATGATACTGTCATTACATGTTATACTGTCGTTACATGGTATACTGTCATTACATGTTATACTGTCGTTACATTTTATACTGTCATTACATGTTATACTGTCGTTACATTTTATACTGTCATTACATGTTATACTGTCATTACATTTTATTCTGTCGTTACATATGATACTGTCATTACATGTTATACTGTCGTTATATGTTATACTGTCGTTACATGTTATACTGTCATAACATGTTATACTGTCATTACATGTTATACTGTCATTACATTTTATTCTGTCGTTACATATGATACTGTCATTACATGTTATACTGTCGTTATATGTTATACTGTCGTTACATGTTATACTGTCGTTACACGTTATACTGTCATTACATGTTATACTGTCGTTACATGGTATACTGTCATTACATGTTATACTGTCGTTACACGTTATACTGTCATTATTATACTGTCGTTACATGTTATACTGTCATTACGTGTTATACTGTTGTTACATGTTATACTGTCATTACGTGTTATACTGTTGTAACATGTTATACTGTCATTACATGTTATACTGTCATGACATGTTATACTGTTATTACATGTTATACTGTCGTTACATGTTATACTGTCTTTACATGTTATACTGTCATTACATGTTACACTGTCGTTACATGTTATACTGTCATTATTATACTGTCGTTACATGTTATACTGTCATTACGTGTTATACTGTTGTTACATGTTATACTGTCATTACGTGTTATACTGTTGTTACATGTTATACTGTCATTACATGTTATACTGTTGTTACATGTTATACTGTCTTTACATGTAATACTGTCATTACATGTCATTACATGTTATACTGTCGTTACATGTTATACTGTCTTTACGGGTTATACTGTCGTTACATGTTATACTGTCATTATTATACTGTCGTTACATGTTATACTGTCATTACGTGTTATACTGTTGTTACATGTTATACTGTCATTACGTGTTATACTGTTGTTACAAGTTATACTGTCATTACATGTTATACTGTCATTACATTTTATTCTGTCGTTACATATGATACTGTCATTACATGTTATACTGTCGTTACATTTTATACTGTCATTACATGTTATACTGTCATTACATGTTATACTGTCATGACATGTTATACTGTCGTTACATGTTATACTGTCACATGAGGTATATTAATAATTGTACATGTACCAATACAATGGATCGTGCTTATTTTCTGCTGACAATGTTACCACACAGTCGACAGAGTATCCTATTTTAGTGTGTTTTATGTATATATATGATATATAAATAACATGTCATTAGCACTTTCATCTCATCAAGGAGATTCTTCAGACTGTTTAGTCTGTTATAAAGATGTTGTTTTTTGTCATCTTTAAGACATTTTTAAACACAGATTGATTTAAAAAAAGCGAAATTTATTCTGTTTGACTTTCGAAATAAGGAAATGATATCAATGATATTGACTTGTAAATTTACAGTTGATGCACATGAGAATTTTTGTGGACACGGACTCTGATATCAGACTAGCACGAAGGTTAAAGAGAGACATTGCAGAGCGGGGCAGAGAATTGGAGGGAGTGTTAAAACAGTACAATAAATTTGTAAAACCAGCCTTTGAACATTACATTGAACCATCGATGACACATGCTGACATCATTGTTCCTCGAGGTGAGTGTTTAACATGAATAATACAACCTTAGACATAAAAGACCGGGGAGGTTTAACCCATATAATATCTATAACTACCTAATAGATAAAGTTGTAAATCACAATAACATGTAAGTACTAAAATAAATAACACAAGATACTTGTCTTCCCTGTTCCTTTATTGTCTCACACTACTGGTAAAATTGTCTCCCCTTCCTTTAGATTGTCTCCCCCTACATGTAAAATCTCGGCCATTTCAGGAGGAGAAAATAAAGTTGCTGTCAGTTTGATTGTCATGCACGTTCATACACAACTCCAAAAGGTGAGCAAATGTTTCTTCAAATAAGGATATAATTATTATACATGAAAATAGAAGTACTACTACATAATCTATGTGGTCATCCCAAAAATGACAAAAGGACCTGAAGAGATATTGTTTGGAAAACATTTGAATGAAATCAATCTTGCTGACATTGAATTATAACAACATTTGTAAGTTTTTCAAAAGGCTGTTCAGTGGAACTGTAAATGGTATTGGTTGTTCTACGTTTACTTTTCTACACAGAGAGGATTCAAACTGAGGTCCAAGCTAGCTCTCTCAGCCAACAATGGAACAAAGATGCCAGATTCCCTGTATGTACTGGAGAAAACTCCACAGGTACAGGGGCTTCATACATTTATAAGGTGAGTCAAAAGGGCTTCATACATTTATTAATTGAGTCACAGAGACTCATACATTTATAAGGCGAGTCACTGGGACTCCATAGATTTATAAGGCGAGTCACTGGGACTCCATACATTTATAAGGCGAGTCAGGGGGACTCCATACATTTATAAGGCGAGTCACTGGGACTCCATAGATTTATAAGGTGAGTCACTTGGACTCCGAACATTTATAAAGCGAGTCACATGTGCTTCATACATTTTTAAGTTGAGTCAAAAGGGTTCCACACATTTCTAAGGCATGTCACTGGGCCTTGTACATTTATAAGGTGAGTCAAAGGGGCTACATGAATTTATAAGGTTAGTCAAAAGGTTTCCATACATTTATAAGGTGGGTCACAGGAGCTCAATAGATTTACAAGATGAGTCATAGGGGGCTCCATACATTTATAAGTTGAGACACACAGACTCAATACATTGATAAGGTGAGAAAGTAAGTTTTAAAATAACTATTATTTTTACGATTATTTTCTCAGAAAGTTACTTTTGTTGTGTGATGAACATAATCAAATCTTTCATTTGTTGATAGAAACCGAGAAACTTCAAGAGATGAGTTTATATTCTACTCGAAGAGACTGATGAGGTTGCTGTTTGAGTATGCTATGTCCATGCTGCCTTTCAAGGTAGGGTCTGCTACTAGTGACTGACTAAATGATTACATTGTAACATGGTATATGTCTCAGTTGTTCATAACCGATTAGCTGGGGGACAACGTTACACCGAACTCTATATAAAATATGTTTATGTATTGGATACTCAAAGCTAGCTCCAAACTTTAATCCAGTATATTTTATGTATTTGATACTCAAAGTTAGCTCCAAACTTTAATCCAGTATATTTTATGTATTGATACTCAAAGCTAGCTCCAAACATCAATATATTGTGTATGTTTATGTATTAATATTCATATCTAATTTCAAACTTCAATATAGTATATGTTTATGTATTAATATTCAAAACTAACTCCAAACTTCAGTATAATAATGTTTAAGTATATCTTCATATATAGAAATTCTAAATGATGATCCAATGTGGACAGGAAAAGCTGAAATTTGTAAGGTTTTGAAATATTTCTAAACCGCCCCCCACTTTTTTTAAGTTAATATCATTAACTACTTTTGTAGTCGGTGAAGGTTGAGACTCCCCAGAGTGTACTCTACGATGGAAAAAGACTCAACGCCACGAAGGTAACATATTAAACATTCACCTTTGAAGATCTATTTAAAAGATCCTGTTAACTTGATGTTTTCAATTAAGTGTCCCGTTTTTTATCTGAAATTTTTCTTTTCAAATTGTGAGATTCAAGGTACAATGATAAAGTTTAAATCTGTACGTGTTTCTCCTTTTAGTGTAAACACAAGTGTTTTTTAGAGTTTCTTGTTTACTCTAGCGCATAAGATATTCATTAATTATAATCAGAACAAAAATTGTGGGAATTCCTGTATTAGTGATACACTTATAAGGATACAGTAGCTGTTTCTGATGCTGTTTACTCTATAGGAATAGGAATTAAACACATATATCATCTTTTCAAAGAAACAGAGTTGTCTATGTATAATTACATTATCTTTGTTGGAATGAATTTATATTCGTCCAAAGTCCAAGGGCCCTACAAACAACCCTTCTAGCATTTAAACTTTTAAGAAATGATAGAATTGTCTGCCTTTAAGCTTAGAGGCGTTTATTTGTAATGTCCAGTAAACTCCATCAACTTGATCATTATTCCAGATGATACATGTACTCTGTACATGATTTTTTGCATTTTATTTCAAATTAGATTTTATGTCTGCTTTAATCATTTAAAATATCTTCCTCAACCGAAAATATGTTGTTGTGAGAACGGCTTTTCCCTTGACTCTGTGTTGACCAATATCTCATTTTCATGTAGAAAAACGTTGACAAAATGGTAAGCATCGTCTGGTAACCAATGTGTTCTGGACCTTAACCAGCTTGTCACCGGTTCCCTGGCGATTGTCTCCCTTGATCCATCCTTTGAATTGTACTTGATACAACATGTTTGATATAACGGTCAAAAAAAGTTTAGGTTTATTTTCATAACTTTAATTATTGTTCTGGGCTACTTAATTCATTCACCCCTGAAATTTCACAATGAACTATTCCAACCTTTGAATTGGAAGATTTCAAATGTGTCTTCAGGGGTGAATGAGTTATCAGGGGTAAATGAGTTAACTATACATCTCTATAGGAACGATCAGCAAAGTATTGCAATGTTTTGCATGCAAAATTATGGAACTTTATTTTGTGTTTCAAGGAAGTAATGTTTGTAGGGTTATTTTTAATGACATTTAATTTGACTTAATGACACTAAATTTAATCACAGCTTTCTGGTAAGGGGTTAGTATCTTTAACACCAGACTTGAACAGAATGTGTAACACTATCATAAATTCATTGTAACAACACTACAGTAAATATATATCTGCTCTGAAATTACATTTAGATGAAGATGTCTAACGCATTATTTTCTGGTAAAAAAATCTTGATGAATTAAGCAAAACAGATAATTTCTAATACTAAGAAATTTGCCAGTGGAGTGTTGTACAACATGCCCTGTCTCTAAATGAAGATTTTACCTAAGGATTGGTTGTAACTTGTTTTTGATGATGCTTGTATTGAAACCCTTCCTAGTTCAGGCTGTTTCTATTTGTGTTTTGTATTGTAGATGTGTAACGATTCTCCAATTGGAGGCAAAGAGACTGAGGTTACTTTAAAAGTATTTTTTTGCTTTATCACCCGTTTACATGTACATACTACACATATTACCTGACTAACTCTGCCGTTAGTATGACCATCTGACATCTGCTATCTTGTTGTTGCAGCAGCTCTCTGACCCCAAGGCCAGCATATGTACATAGCTATGCTTGTAAACATCCGGCCGTCTCTCAGTCCTTTCTCACTGTGTTGTAGTACACACCTACTGGACACCTCCATACATAGCCTTCACTGGACATAGAACAAAAGTGCATCAATAGAAGAATAGGGGCAATCCTCGACACTCCAGGGGCTACACTCACTTGCATTCTCTGCAGATGGAGCGTAACCCCTGGAGTATCGATGACGAATTTAAGACCAAAAAATTCTAAAATACATGTAAGATCATTTTTCAATATATCACATATTAAATGCATCACTGTATATGTTCAGTGCTTTTAGAACTAAAAGAAATGTACGTACATAATATATAATTGATCATAACTGGTATTTTGTCCTGTCCCCAACCCCATTATAACACAACTGTCAAACTGGTGTTGAGTCTTGAGTTCCATCTCGAACTGTAATTTCTATCATGGCAGCTGTTCTTTGCTAAATTAATTTCAGAGTTGCAACATCACTATATTTTATACATGGCATCATTAAAAAAAAACCAAAAAAAACATTGTTTTGGTGCATAATGATGTCAGTAATGTATCCATGTAAATTTAAACCTGAAGTCTTGATCAACAATTTCATGAGTCATGAAGATATTTTTCAAACAACGTAGGTAAAAAAATTCAATGATTTTGTACTAGCAAAATGAACACATATTTTTACTAGAAACAATTTGAAGGATCATTAAAGATTAGATTTTTTTTGGTTTAATGTGATAATACTGTTGCTGGAGTTACCAGTGAAGGGTATATATAAGGTGGTGTGTTATTTAGGATGTGTTGTTGATGTGTTTAGATTTGATAGATGACCACCACAAGTCCAGATAGACAAACATACCCCAACCCACACACACACACGCACAAATACAGACGAACATATACACCCCACCTCTCACCCACCCACGTGCACTCACATACAGACATACACACAACACACATTCACAGCCAATTGTGCTTCACACACAACACACATTCACAGCCACACTCATTTGGGGGTTAATATCCTTTAAGATCTAAAACTCCCTATATTTTCTGAACCCTACTAGTCTTTAAGCAACACCAGAGTGACCAGTGGTCATTTCTGTGTAAATGCTGTCTCTCTATATACAGTGCATGCTTTGAATTCTGTTCTGTTCCTGTTTTTGTTGTGTTTAATAAGAATTGATCCACGCCTTGCAGCGATGCTGCTTCAGACTTGTGTTACGGACCAGATCTATTCTATACTGCTGAAGGATTTGATAGAAACGTTGCTAGATATTTTGTAGATGACCTCATACTAGTTACCTCTACATACATGTATAACACTGTAGCCTTGTTAGACCTACTGAACGAGTGATCCAAATTTTATTTTGAGAGTCTGTTTATTATAAGGTCCTGGTAAGATTCCAAGGTATGAACTTCGTTGCGGGCTTTCTGACATCAAACTGCATTTTAGAAACAGATACAGGAACTTAATATTTCAAGACATGTGCTTTTCTAATACATGTACTTGATACATCACCTGAATCGCTAAACCTAAAAGCAAAACAAGCGTATCTGTGACATTAATATATTTAACTCGATCATTCACCCCTGAAGACACATTTGAACCCTTCCATTATAAAGGTTGGAATAGTTTATTATGAAACTTCAGGGGTAAATGAGTTAACTCTCTGTTTTTATCTTCTCATACATCAGCTTGTAAAAGAAATTCTCTTGCAGTAATCACCTTATTTAATAGTTTTTCATTGTTTAAAGAGAAAGAGGTCAAGCGGAAGTGTCTGGGACAAAGGGGTAAACACAGCATGGTACCAACATGTATCCAACACATACCTCAACTGTTATTATACTTTCTGTTTCCTTTTGTTTATCCCCTCATAAGAGATTTGTAGGGAGATCAAATTTCTGTCCATTTGTATGTTTTTTACTGGTTTCAACTTCCATGATAGACTGTACTATGGTAAAACGAATATCTTTTCAATCTCATTCAAAATTGGCCTTGGCCACTGCAGCCCCCAAGGTCATAGGTCAAATGTCAAGGTCAAATGTTAAGTTATGCATGTAGTTTCTGGTGGGCATACCTTGTTATCACTGTAGCCAAGCAATTCATGATCAAACTTCATACAATGGCCAAGTTTGAGAATATCTGATTCTCGATCATATACCAAGTCAGGTATGTGTTTTACAAGTTCACTCAGGGCTAGACAATAAGGGTAGCCTGCTGCTAGTCTGAGACTAATGAAATCAGTGCACGCGTACGTTCAAAGTAAAAAGCTCATATACAAGATATTTCACGAACCTCTCATCTGATTCAGCATATGTTTACAACATAGAATGGTGAAAGTAAGTTTTAAACCTGATTTTGGTGGTTATACATGTAGGTAACTTTAGGCACGTTGTTTTATTCATTGCCGAACAGATATTGATCAGACTTCACACACCAGTCAAATTTGAGAACAATGTTTGTGCTTCAGGGTGTTATAGTAAAAAAAACCTGTGTTATACATATATTGACAAAGTTAGAGAATCAAGTAGCTGGAGTGAATGGTACCTAGACACTTTTGACAAAGATTGCTATATGTATTCTCTCAAACAGACTGTTATGCACGTGAGGGGATTTGTATTTTTTGCGATCCCTTTTTATAATTTCTGATTTTTTTTTTCATTTTTCTTCCAAAGCATATCTTTCATCAAGTCATTCACCTCGAGCTACATATCCCTAAACAAGGGGAACAACCCATCCCTTAAATATAACAGACACATCATTAGACATGTACAATGTTTGATATGATTGATTTCATTTTCAATCTCGGATTTATTTCAGGATTTAATATAATTGTTTGCTTATTATCCTCTACACAAAAGTTAAAAATATATATGATTTTAATAATTTTTCATGTTTTATTTTCATTTTACCACTTACTATTAAAATAAAATTTTGTATCTGTAACGAGCACACACCCCTTAACACATTTCCCAACATTAAAGCTGCTAATCATGAGAAGCCGTTTTTTTCATTTGCGCTGGTAACCCTTCACTAGCACAGAGCTGTCAGCATTCAGCGAATGAAATTATGTCAAAACAGGTAGATATGGGATGATCAGTGCTATATTGGGTCAATGATAATCTCTGAATGCTTGTCCACTCTGTTTGAATCACTTGCACATTTTTGTCATGTGTAAGTCTTGCACATTCCAGCTTAAGTCAAGTGGATTGAAGTATTTCAATTAAAAAAATAACCAGTTTCTTGTAGAAGTGCTAGATTAGTATGAGGTAAAAGTAACATCTTTGGAAGCCTAGAAATGAGGGATCCAACAAAAGGAATGGAAAGGAAATATTGTACATAATTCAAAACAGTTTTGTATTAAATCCAACATGGTCTAGTATTACAATGTTACACTGTATGTGTTCTAGCAGTGTCAATGTTTCAGTACATGTATTACAATGTTACACTGTATGTGTTCTAGCAGTGTCAGTGTTTTAGTACATGTATTACAATGTTACACTGTATGTGTTCTAGCAGTGTC